ATTTTCGTGGCAGAGCTGCGGATCTCAGCCCGCCGATCTCCGCTCGCGCCGGCCGCCCATGCGCTCGCGGGGCTTCCCGACGGGGCGGGCCTCGTGCTGATGGACCCAGCCGAGGTGCCCGACCAGTCGGATCCGCGCCGACGCGCTGCGCGCGACCACCAGCCAGCTTTCCGGCCGGGCCGAGAACGGTGTGTCGATAAAGCTGACACTCAAAGTAGCAGCCGCTTTTTTTGCCTCTTTTTGAGCGCTGCTGCTGCACACCCAGCCCACCAGTGATACGAGACGCACCAGATCCACCCCGTCGCGAGCTTGACCGCAACCCCGGTGACCGCCCATAGGTGGCTGATCGAAGCGCCACTCATCGCTGCTTTCGCGCGCCTGCTCCACAGAGGGCTCCTGCGGCTCTCCCTCGTCGCGTGACCGCCGCCGACATCATGTGCTCGGTCGTCCCCGCCGGCGCGGAGCTGCGCCACGTCGAATTCTTCGGTGGCTCGACCGCCGGCGCGCCCACCCTCGCCTCCTCGCCCGCCGCCGCGCCGCGCCGCCCCCCGGTGATTATTAATTCATTATTAATTAATTAATAAGTAATTATACCACCCGCCGCCGCCCCGCCCCGCCCTGCGTCGCCCGCTGCCTCGCCGCGCCGCCGCCTCGCGCCGCCCGCCGCCGCGCCGCGCCGCCGCCCGACAATTATTAATTCATTATTAATGAATTAATAAACAATTATACCACCCGCCGCCGCGCCGCCCCGCACTGCGTCAGACGTAGATCTTAGCGTGAAACACACACACCAAGGACAGGGTCGGACTGTGTGCTAGTCACACCACAACACCGCACCCCACCCGACCCGACCCACACAACCTCCCTCGCAAGCTCTTCTCTCACTGCTGCCCTTGCGCGAGGCAGGCTCTCTTCACCGCCCTCTCCCCACACGCACGCACACCCCCACGGCGCGTTCCCACGGCGCCCCGAGTCCGTTGCAGCGGGCCACCAGCGGCGCCGCCTTTGCCGCAGCCAGCATTGCCAAACACGCCGCTGCCACCCTCCGCTGCGCCTCTCGCGCCTCGCAGGTGCCCCTGGTCAACGAAGGCGCCTAAAATCACGATGGGTTTGTTGTTGTTGTTGGCGAATGCGCTCGGCTACTGGAGGCGTCCGGGACACAACCACGGCATGGGAGCCTGTGCCGCAGGCAACAGCAGCCTGATGCAGGAGCACTGGGATCTGAGCGAGGAGCGTTGTTCGGTGCTGTGCATCCAGGCCGGGTCAGAATGCCTCGCCTACGAATACTCCCGCCTGGGTGGCCGGGGCCAGTACAGTAAATGCGAGCTTCACAGCGAAGCCATCCAAAGGACCGTCCCGTTACCGGGCGCAGTCGTCTGCCGAATGAAGCCGGAAGCGTCGACGACAAGTTCTTGGGTGCCGGCACACCCGTCAGTATTGTCAGTGCCGCCAGCACCGCCATGGCTGCAACCACCAACTTCGCCGCCGGCCGTGAGGCTCATCCTTGACACCGACATGGGGTGTGGCGCTTGCCGCGACGTCGACGACGTCGTTGCCCTGTGCGCCCTCCATGCGCTGGCGGACAACGGCGAGGTGGAGCTGCTCGCTGTTGTGCAGGACAGCGCGCCGCCCGCAGGAGCAGGCGTCATCTCTGTGGTGAACCACTTCTACGGCCGCGACCACATACCGATTGGCGCGTACAAGGGGTCTGGGCTGACGCTGGCGGGAGAGCCTCCGCTCACGTTTGTCGACAGTGTCCTGAAAGCCTTCCCTTCGCCGATCCGGAACGCCTCACAGGTGCCGGACGCCGTCGACGTGTACCGGCGCGTGCTCGCCGCCTCGCCGCCGCGTTCAGTCACAATCGCGTCTGTCGGTCTGCTGACGAATCTGGAGCTCTTGCTTCGCTCGGGCCCCGACGCGCATAGCCCCTTGGACGGCCCCTCTCCCTCATCAAGCAGCGGCCTAACACGTGGAGAAGTGCTCGTTACTGTCTCTGAGAGCCTCCCCTGTAGGCTACGCTTTGGTGGCCGAAAAGGTGGCTCTCCTCTCAATCATGGCGGGAGACTACCCGACGAGCGGGCCTCGCTTCGCCGAGTGCAATGCGTGCGGCTGTTTCAACGGCGCGGACGCCGTCTCCAGGGCGACCGCCGCAGCCGCGTCCTCTTTCGTCGCAGCAAACGTGCCGCCGTCCGTCCGTACCATCTACCTCGGGTTCCGCGACGGGGACGTGGTGCGGACTGGCGCGGTGATGGAGCTGTGCGCAGCGCCGGCCAACCCGTGCCGGCACGCCCTCCTCGTAGCGAGCAAAGTAGTTCCACGCGCCCACGCGACCAGCGACACAGGTGACGCGGCCTTACGGAGTGGACTCTAGGCACGCCCTGATGGACTTTCGCGACCGGGCGGGCTGGGGGTGGGGCCCGGGAGGCCGCTCCAGCTACGACCCGCTAGCCGCCCTCCTAGCGGTGCGCGGAGTCAGCCGCGAGGGCGTGGGCTTGAGCGAGTGCACGCAGTGCGACGGCGTCAACTCGATCGACCCAAAGAGCGGCAAGAATGAGTGGTTGCCGGGGCGGCGAAGCAACCAGAGCTATGTCGAGCTCACGGACCGGATGAGAGCGCAAGAAGCGATTGATGCGCTCCTCTGCCAGCCACGGCCGCCGCCGCCGCCGCCGCCGCCGCCGCCGCCGCCGCCGCCGCCGTTGCCGCCGCCCGCGCCACTACTAGTCATTCCACCGCCGTCATCGCCGGGGTCGCCGCCGCCTCCCTCAACGCCGCCGCCGCCACCGCCA